ACGGCGTTCCAGGCTCGATGAGGATCCCGGTTGCAACGAGTAGCCCTCTTGGTCGAGCTTACGCCCCGCTGACGCGACGATACCGGCGTGGGGCCGTGGAGCACAAACACGTGGCGACGAATGCTGGCAGCCGGGTCCAACTCGGTCACAAGCACGCTTTGGAGCAGCTGCAGTAGCAATCCGGTGAAAGCGTCGCCGATGTTGGCTTCAAGCGCGTCCCAGAGGCTGTACACGTCATACGGGTTGGTGTGGGCGACAAGGAGGTCGTGGAGCGTCCGCACGACCTCGGCGAGCTGGGCGGTCTGGTCACCTGGCTCGGCCACAAGCTTCTTCATGAGCGAGAGGTAGGTTGCCACGAGTGCATATGGCCCGGCGAGCGCCGGCGGGTCTTGGATCGGCCCTTTGCTCATGGACGCGTGGTCGATCGGGCGCAGCGCGTCGCACCGGCGGCGGACGAGCTGCCCACTGACCTTGATGGCCTGCGTCCGGAGGCCGACGTCGTCCTCGGCTTGGGCCGCGATGTCGATGAGCAGCCGGACCATGTCGCCTTCGTCGCCCTCGGCGCGAACCGCCTCCGCGATCAAGTCCTCCATCTTCCCGAATGCTCAAAACGGACAAGAAACATGATCTCGTCGCCGACCGCGCTGATTGGTCTATGTTAACTTATCCGGAATGTCCGGTTTATCGTGCGATGATGTGTCGTTCAGGCATTTAGTCGTTTAGTCGTTTGGTTTAGTGGTTTAGTCGGGTAGTTGGTCGCTGGGCGTTTCGTTTTTGCCGGTTTGTTGGCGTTGGTCGCATGCGTCCTCGTGGCAGGATCCGCAGCCAGCGGCAAGCGCCGATACGCCGCCAGCGAAGCATGGACCTGCTGCCAGAGGCGGTTTAGTCAGTACGTAGGCGCTAGTCGGTGCTAGTCGATCGAGGGGCGACCGCGAGTATTATCCATGCCAGCGCTGCATTCGCTAAGATCGTAGTGCCAGGACACCATGCCCCAAGGGTGAGGCTGCATCCGTCATCCGTCTCCAGGCAGTAGTAGGCAAGCAAGACAAGCGCCGTCTTTGCGCCGTCGTCTCGGGAAGATTTGGCCCTTCTGCCGCTACTGCCAACGGACTTCAGACGCTCGCGGCGCCTAATGCTACGAGGTACTATGTGGCTTCCGTGGGCCCGCTAGGCCTTCGTTTGCCTGCTTGGCCCTATGCCATCGCTGCCATCGCTACTTGGGCAGACGTCGCTTGCTGTACATTCGTAGCACGTGATATTATCATTTTAACCCGACTTGAAGAGGAGGATCGCGACCTGGCCCAAGTAGAAGTAAATAAAGTGCTTCGTCTCGTGCGTGACGTAAGAGCCAAAGTTGCGGCCGACGATGCAGTGCCACGTCGGGTTGTACTTCTTGTCAAACTCCTTCTTGATGAAGGCGGCAATGTCCTTCTCGATGTTGTACTTCTCGAGGGCCTGCGACGCGCAGTCGACCGCGTCCTGCTGCATGTCCTCGTGCATGTCGGCGTTCTTGATCACGGCCTTCCGCTCCGACATCTCTTCTCGTCCCTTGAGCAAATCCAGAAATACCGACGGGGAAGCCGAATTTCAACAAAGATCTCGACCTTGGCGTTTGTATTGACTCGAAGCGACGCTTGGGGCCGCCCTAAAAGTAGGTCGAAACTAGGACACTTCCCGGATTGGTTAAAATCCTACGCACCCCACACGGCGCGTGTTTCTTTGGAGCCAATGAAACGCGCCACTTTGGTATCCAACACGGTGATTGGTCAAAACCATCCACGCGGACGCCGATTCTAGAAACTCGGCCGCGAAGACGGTGCCCCGAGCCTCCCTATATGACCAACGAACGCCGAGGATCGATAACGTCCTTGTTGATGATTATGTCGTCTTGACTATTCAAATGCATGTATCTACCTTCGTGTGCAATGCAGTACAAGTGACCCATTGAAGGCAATGTTGGCGGTGCCTCGAAGCCCTAACCGCCCTCGCCGTTGCATTCACGTGCCAAGTTCACAACACCTGCTTGAAGCCCGTGTGGTTGACGCAAAATCACCAACGTCATGACATAAGCTTCGTCTGCGACCTGCCGTAGGTGTCTCGCTTCTCGCGTCTGGTCTGTACGACAGTACATGCATCGAAATCTCTCACCCTTCTCGACCATAAAACGGTCGCGTTCTTGATAGAACTGGGATGTCAGCCTCGCTGTATTACGTGGCAGCCGCACCGTGTCGGCCTTGGAAGTTGTTCATGCCATCGCGGCCGCCGCCGAGGCCCAGGGCGATGTCCATGAGAGCGACGGGCAACAGCCGCACGCCGCGCGTGATGAGCGGCAAGACCCAGCGGTGCCACGACCGCGCACACGTGAGGCGCTCGTAGTCCTTGCACTCGATGCTCTCGATGACGGTGGCGACAACGTCATCGACTGTGATCATCGGAATCAAGTACGCGTGCACAAAGCGGGGCCACCAGTGGTCCGAGGCAAAGATGCCGCGGAACATGCCGCTGTCGACCGCCATGGGACACACGAGAAGTGTATGCACGCCGGTTTTGCGCAAGTGCTGGAGCTCCATGCGCACTAGTACATGCACACATGAGTCCGCGCAAGTGCCGAGAGGACGATGGTGTCGTACGCGCTTCGTGGAACCCAACGGACGCGAACTTGGAGCTGCAATAGTCGGTGAGCCGCGCCGAGCCATTGAGCCCCATCTACGTTGCCGCATAAGCCACACATTCGAAGTGTCAAGAGGTCCTACGATCGAGGCCATGGTCACAATCATGCCATGGTTCCGCGCGAGCATCGACGGCAGCACGGCTTGCGTCGTCCAAAAGTGGGCAAGCGCGTTGACGCCAAAGATGTTCTGGACTTGGTCGTGGGTCAAGTCGAGGAGCGGCTTGCCATGGACGATGCCAGCGTTGTTGATGAGGACGTCGACGTCGCGCCCGAGAGCGGCGACGACCTCAGCTAAGCAGGTGACGACGCGCCTGGTAGAATGTATGAGCATCACGTCATTGGCACATGGCGCCGTACTCGTGGTCGGACACGTCGCACACAAAGGTGTGGCTGAGACGCGGGTGCTCGCGGGCGAGTGTCGCGAGGCTACCTGCGTCCATGTCCAAGCACGCCACGAGCGCACCCTTCTGCGCCATGGCGATGGCCAAGCCACGCCCGATGCCCGAGGCGGCGCCGGTGATGACGACGACCTTGTCCTTGAGATCAAAGAGCTGGCGGCGCGGCCTTAGCAGGAGGAGGAGGATAGCGCCGACGATGACGGCGACGACGACAGGAGCAGCTTCCATCGTATCGTCTTTGCGTGTTGACGCCCCAAGATGCAGCGGCGTTTTGATTGGTGACTTTTCAGCCAATGGCATTGACGCAATCAAGATCATGCGTCGACTGGCATGGCTGCCACCCAGTCCTCCCTACCATGTCCTACGACAACAGCGATGAACCAGTGTTGCTGCATACTTGAGCTCCACCACACACGATACGTCTCCTCACAGTAGAGGAAGACGTTCAAGCACATTGCCGCCGTTGGAGAGGACAATGCCTTAGTACATGTATCGAGACCTGGACATTGTGCAAGTCTACCGAGAAAGCACGTCGGAGCGAGCTAGCTGCAGCCACCTTCTGCACCAGAGTCTCAACAGACGCTGCAGACTCGATCGGCCACGCAAAGTGTCCAGAGAGCACCCACGAAGTCGCATCATCAGGCGACCCAAGTTCCAGGATGGCGCAGAAACTGGTCCACCGTCTCGGAATATGTAGCAATTGCATGGCTGGTGCCAACGCGTGCACTAACAAGCGCCGAACAGTGAGTTGCATCCAGGCAACAAAGGACGGTGTTTTCTCGTGTCGACTGTGGAGGCTCCTTCTGCAGGAAGTTGCTTCGACTACACTTTCCTACCTTCCTACTCGGTGTCTTGGCTCATGGCGAAAACAATGGCTCATGGCCCAAGATTCCGCCACGTCATGGAAGTGGCCTGACGACAAAGTGCAGTGCCCGCCAAGTTGAAGTCGGTGTCCAGTCAAATCAGTCAGTTTTAAAACCGACCTCTCGAAATTAATACCCCAAATTCTATTTTGAGAGGAACATATCTTTGTGAGCGGCTCACTTTCA